AACCCATGAGCTCAGGCAATCCACCTGCCTCAGCCTCCCAGAGTGCTATGATTATAAGCATGAGCCACCATGCCCAGCCTGTGGCTGTCTTTATTGAAGGGGGAAGAGAAAGTTTCTTAGGGGACACACAGCCCTTCTGAGGTTACCTTCTTTAGAGGAGCCAGAGTGGATGAGCTGCTCCCCAGGCTATCCTGGCACTTGACTTTCTTCACCTACCCAGCTACTCCTCTTCCAAGAATTTTGGGGGACAGGGTGGAAAAACTCAAGGCTCCAGGTTTCTCCCCTACCACTCTGTAACCTCACTCTTGCCATAACGATCTCCTTATGTCCCTGCTGTGAGGTAACCAGGACTCTAGTTTTTTCCTCCTTTCACTCCCCTTTTCTCCTCTTTCTCTCCATCATAGTTTCTCTTTTCTGAGTATTTATCATATGCCAGAAACTCTGGTAAATGCCCACACCACATCCCATTTAATTCTTGCATGTACCCGTGGGGAGACAATCTTATTAATCCCATTTTATATATGAGAAAGCCAAGTACTAGAGAAGTTAAGTAAATTGTCCAAGGTCCACTAGCTAAAAATTGTCAGGCAAGATTCAGACTCAGGTCTGTTTGATGCCCAGACATGTAAACTTTGAGAACCGCTGGTCTTGAGGTAAAGTGTGGCTCAGGGATACCAGGGTTTCCCTAGATCCTTTATAGGGTTCTGTGAAATCAAAACCATTTTCATGATGCTAATTTGCCTTTTGACTCTGTTAACAATTGCACTGATGGTACAAAATCAGTGATGGGAAGAACTGTGGGTTCCTTAGTCCAAATCAAGGCCATGACACCAAACTGTATTATCAAACATTACATTCTTATATGATAAAAAGTCACTTTTACTTGAGAATGTCCAGGCGAGGCAGTAAAAATTATTAATTTTATTAAATACACAAGTACTCAGGGGAACAGCTTTAATATGCTGGATAATAAAATGGGAAGCACACAGAAATAACTTAAGCTAAATATGTTTGTCTAGAGACACACACTATGTGTTTGAGTTGCAAACTGAACTAGCCACTTTCCGCATAGAAAACTTGTTTGCCTGAAAAAAAAAATGACTGACAAAAAATTATGACTCTCCAGACTTGAGTATTCAGAAAATATTTTCTTGTCAATGAACAAAGTGAGACTGTTGTTTCAAGGAAAACAACTGATAGCATTTGTTGCCACTGATAAGATTCAAGATTTTAAGCATATTAGAATTTGGGAAAATTTGTATTCACACTCTATCAGTCAAGGTCTAGTCAGCAGAGAGAAACCACCTGGCAGTTGAAGAGAGAAGTTGATATTCACAAATGTGGTTTTCCAATGTTATATCATGAAATGTATCAGTGTTTATAGGATCAGCATACCTCAATGAACTAATCTTTCCAAATTATCAATTTATAATGTGAAAATTCCATTTTAAGTGTAATGAAATGATAAATCAGTGAATTTCAAGGTAACCATGTATGCGAAGGGTTTCTGATTCTAAGCTGCAACTAACCTTTAAGAAATTACCATTTTTTGAGTTTTGATGTCATTTCCATGACTATCCATAGTCATCAGAAAAGGCTATTAAGATACTTCTCCCTCTTCCAAATACATATCTGTGTGAGGCCATATTTTCTCTGTATACTTCAACAAAACAGCATATCACAACAGGACGTACGTGTCTCCACAAGCAGATATGTGGATCCAGCTGTTTTCTATTAAGGCAAACATTAAAGAGATTTGTGAAAATGTAAAATAAGGCTACTGTTCTCACTAATTTTGTTTTGTTTGGGGAAAATGAAAAAAAATCCATAATGTTTGTATTCACATATAATGGATCTGTTATTGTTATATTCCAATGAATTTAATAAATATTTAAAACTGTTCTCAGTTTTAATTTCTAGTATGGCAAATATCAATGGATGTAACCTACATCCACAGGAGCTCTTTGGGCCCTCAATAATTTTTATAGTTGTTAAGAGGTTCAAAGACCGAAAATCTCAGGAACTGCTGTTCTAGACTAGAGGCTCATGAACTTGAAGGTGAATGGTAGGTCAGGCCTTTTGGCACAACTGCCATGGGGATGCCTCTGTGTCTGGGTTTAAAAACATACAGATATTTGCATCTGGATGCCTAGAGACATCAGGATGAAGAAGAAAAATTTCCACCTGAGGGAGAAGGAGAGAGCAGACAGAGGAGGAGGAAGAGGGTGAGGGTAAGGACAAGAAAAAAAAAAAAAGAAAATAGTGACTAATTCTCACATAAATTGGATTTGATTTTGACTAAAGTACACTACTTAAACATTAATTTTTAATTCAACTTGTTAATATGTTGCTTAGGATACAGGATACTGCATCCTCATTACATTTGTAATTTCCCCTCTATGATAATATACTTTTTCCAATTTTAGTGTCAGGTGTGTCCAGATTAAGCAGAACGATTTTTGAAGTATTTCTTCTTTGTCTATTGTCTATGAGATTTGGCATGATCTTTTTTTTGAAATTGTCCTTTATTTTTATGTATAAATATTGGTTGTCTATTTTCGGAGACTTTGGGAAAAAAATAAGGTGTTACTTGATGACTCTAGACTAAACCTCAGAGTCAAGGCATTCTATCATAGACATACTCTTATTTGACAACGTGAATGTTACTTTCTTAGCATTACTGTTATTATTATTGCTTAATACTTCGTTGCAGCAATCATCTGATTTCTTTTCTGAATATATTTATCTTCATTCTTTACGAGGTTTTTGTTTCTAGTCCTTGTCTTAAAGAGCCTTTTTAGTTTTATGAAGGCAAAGAGTGGAATCCTAATTGATAAACACATGTATATGTCAAAATAAAAAAATAAAAATTTTCAGGCCAACTGACAAATTCCCACCTGATTTCCGAGGCACCTCACTGGCCTCCCTGGTATCTTGCCTCTGTCCACGTTGTTAAGTGCCTGAGTCCACGGTGAACCCACGAGCTCGAGGTGGAGAGGCTCCTGTTCTTTTGAAGCAGCCTGATCTGAGAGAGAGAGAGAGATCAATGACCCTGTAAGAAGGGGCTTCCATTGCACTGGGTGAGCCCCTGTGTGAGTGTCAGGGCCAGCTCTCTCCCTCTTCTGACTCTGGGCCTCCCCTCTGTTGATCAGAGCTTGCTGTGGTCAATCTGTGTTCCCTTCTCTCTTATACCACTTGTCTTCCTTTTCCCCTGGTGGCATGGAGTATCTCTGTACCTTGTGGGATTTCTTCATCACTTTGGGGCGGATGCAAGACATATGCCTGGAACGAGAAAAATACGAGAGAGCACTCAGTGCTTTCAGGCCAGTGCCCACTCTGAGATGCCAGGAGCCCCTAAGAAGAGTAAGTATGAGCAGGAAATCTCTGATAGGGACTTAAAGCCCAGTGTCAGCTGTCTCATCTTTGCTACTCACATTGAGCCTGCCAGGGTTCTCTGTGACTTAGGTGAAACTATTTGGAACCTGCCTTGTTGAGCAATGTTGGAGGTGTTCAGTCTTGCTCCCGTGACTAGACAGATATTATGGAATCATTGGAATCTTCTAAAATTCTACAGATCAGGTAGACCTGGCTCTTCCCTTATCTAAGATCCTTTAAGGGCCAGAGATACCCAGAAGAGGAGGTGTAGGCAAGGGTACCCAAGAATCTGCAGGAAGGTGTCCTACCCAAACTACGAGGAGGGAGCCGTTCCCTGTACTGGTTCATTATCCAAACAACAGGCACCCATTGAGAGCAGTTGCAGCCTGTTCCGGGACCCAAGTTTGCTGTGAGCTCTGCCCCTATATCCCAGGGGAGGCTGCAGGCTGACCGGCTCAGCAGAGAGGCCAACAGAAGGGGGAAGCTTCCTCAGTCACCTTTGAGATAAAAAGAAAAAAAAAAAAAAATGAAGGGAGAAAGACAGAGAGAAAAGGAAAAAAAAAAAAAATCAAAGACTAATCCTAAAAATTCTCCTTTAATCTTAGAGCTTCCAGACCTGGTTTCTCTTTCATCTAGGACTTCGAAGTTATCTAGTTATTTTATGGGTAGTGAAACCACAAGGCGAAGAGAGGGTGGTGGTGGGGAGATTAAATTAATGAGCAGGTAAGCAGGTTTATTATTTCGTCTGATCCTTCTTTCCTTCCTGCTAATTTCTCTGAGCCAATTTGGGAGGCAGAGCCTATCATGTTAACTCAGAGACAGACTATTGTATCCATGTTCTTTCTGAAGCCACTTATCTGAAGGATATTAAAGATCCAATTTACATAGACATTATGGCATTGTGAGGAGGGTGTATGTGCAGGGCTCAAATGAGAGAGAGAGAGAGAAGAGCGAGTGAGGACACCCATCCAAGTCAGCCTGGGTTTGTGTACATGCTCACCCTGCAGTATCAGCTCTCATGAAGCTCTCAGAGAAGTTTGCAATCCCTCAACAAGTTAGTTCAAGAAGTCATTGGGCCTTGGCAGAAATCAGGCTCCAGGCAACGGCGGAAATGTTTATTAAATCTGTGCTTCAACCCTCGGGCTCCTGTATTTCCTTATCATTATGACTAGGTTCACAGCAGAGGAAATGCAGCCCTCTTGAGCTCGATATCTGCTTAATTGGATGCCTGATCATGTTGCCCCAGCCCATGTGTGTGCCTCTGTAATGAGGCACAGGGCAGCATAGATGCAGAGAAGCGGAGGTCAGAGTCCCAGGTTAACCCTCAGCTCCCAGGTTAGCCACCCACTACACAGAGGCCTTGGTTCTGCACAAGGGAAATGGGTGACCTGGACATGCCACATTATCTGGGGTGTGGGTGGACATTTTGGTTCCTCATGAAACATAGATAAAAACACCTATTCTGCCTATTGCTTTGGTTTGTTATGAGCGTGAAATGAGATATACTGAACAGCACTCTAGACAGAATTTAGCAGGATACATAGCCACATATAATGGGTTGTTCTGAAGTTTCTCTCAGCAATAGCCAATCTCCCTTTGCTGATGTTAGGCTCATCAGAGGGCCTTCTGATGGCTCATTTGGCCTCTTGCACAGACTTGTTCACCCGCCCGTGCCACTGACCAGCACCAGTGGTCCTACAGAGGATGTTGCCGTTGTGAACCAGTGTGCCGGCATTCACCTCCAATTTTTCGGTTCATTAATTGGTTCTTTCATTATTCCACTGCCATTTGATGGCACTGATGACCTGGTGCAGTGGGTTTTAGTTTTGACTTCACTTTAGATTATTACCTGGGGTGTTCTAAAAAACACTCGTGCCTGGGCCTGTCCCTAGACTAATTAATTCAGATGCTCTGGGA